AAAATAAGAGCTTACAACTTTCATTTGTAACAGAGATGAAGCTGCCTATGAAGATTCTTTTTTTTGACTCCATTAAGTGGGGGAGGTTCTATGTAAAAAACTTGTGCAAAAGTGCTCGGTGCCTGGCCACAGAAATGAAGAATCAGAACAAGAATATTGCTAAAGCTGTCTTATTTTTTTCTGAGGAATTGCCAACAGTTGTGATCTTAATAAGCGTATTTCCAAGGTGTGTTGCTGTTTTCTATGTCCTGTGTCCTTCATGCATTGTATTATTATTATTAATTAATTAATAACATAATATAATTATTGTTTTTTGTAGTTATAATAATTAATAATAATAATAACAACAACATGAAAGGGCACAGAAGGACTCTTGGACTGCCCCTGAAGGATTTGTCCGTAGGTAAAAAGGGACATCAGTTTCATTATCAGGAATGTCCTCTGTGACTCCGTTACATGAGACACAGATTCATACAAGGTACAAACTCTTATGGCTGCAGTAAAACACGAGGTCCTCCAAAAGGCTAAATGCAACAGCTCTTGAACCAAAATTGCAAAATTTGTAGCTAACAAAACGTGTATTCATTGAGCATCTCCCCACTTCATGCGAAGCAAGAAAAAATTTCCTCAGGAAATAGGACATTCTCTCCCTAGATCTTCTGGGAGTTCTTACTCCTTTTTCTGAAGCATGTGTTTCTGGCTGCTGTCAGAGTCAAGGGTACTGGATTAGAGTACTCTGCTCTGGTCTGGCAACTCATATCTTCTTTTCACGTTTTTGCATATGCTAGTTTCACACATCTATAGCATGCTGAAAGCCATTTAAATTAATAAGAAAAGTAAATCAAGCAGAGAAAAAAAGAACTGCTCTAGTGCAAGGTAAACAAAAGCCCTGTGCCTCATCCCTGGCATTAAGCAGGTTCCATTTGCAGGAGAAATGGAATAGTATCCACTGACTCTCTCCTCAGCACCATCCCTGGCTGAAGCTGCTCCTCCTTCAGAGGCCACAGTCACCCTAGCATGTGCTTCAGGGCTGCTGTGGAGGAGAGGATGGAAGGCTGTGAGGCACAGAGCTCTGTTGGCGAAGCAGACTGTACATCCTGCACATGGGCATGACTGCATATAACCACAAGCCTGCTGAGTGCAAGCACCTCTCTCATGAGACATCAGACAAAGAGTCCTGGCACCCCATTCTGCAGTTTGCAGAGTAAAGTGTCGGTTTTGGCTGTAAACAGCAGGATCAGGGGCTGAGTCATTCTCCACTGGTCTTTTTGCATACAGCTTTATGATTCTGGTCTTGTTACTGCTCTTTTTGTATTGACATAGCTCAGCCACTATGGTATTTAGATGTCGGATTGGGGCCAAGAATTCCATTTCTCCTCATTGCAGTCTGGCCTCTCTCTCGAAATGGGTGTCGCTCTTCTCCTCTCTTCACCTGTGGTGTTTGCCACACGCCACCAAAAAGCCGGGCCCTTCAGAGGAACTGGGCGGCAGGGCGGGGGCGGGGGTGACAGCACCTCAGCAATTTTATGTTCCCTGTGTTCTTCCTAGCTGGATGTGTAATTGGCCCTGCCTCTACTAGACAGGCTCCCTTTGCCCCTTCCTCAGTAAGGTAGGTCAGTGTCATCATCTCCTCCACACAGCTGCATGAAGAGAGGCCCAGAGGGATAGTGTGGTTTTGCCCACATTCATATTAGTGGTACACAAGCTCCCAGGCCCTCTGCTAACCACTAGACAATGCTTCCTGCCTCATTATGTTATTGATATTAATTCAGAATTATCTGTCAGAATGAGAGAACCCAATGAAAAGTACTGTAGAGGGGAGGTGACCAATAAGAGCTGAGCATCTTTCAGAACTAATGTCCCTTTACATTTTAACCCTTGTTCTTTAGTTCTTGCACCTCCAGAATCTTTCTGACTCCTCCCCTAACTACACCCAGCTGAAACCCAATGAGGGGAGGGAAGGGTAGATAGTGGTGAATGGGAAGAGACACATCACAGTCCACATTTCTGTACATCAACTCAGAGAGCTGTTTCGACGGAGCCTGTGAGACAGCTTCCCTGCAATCCCATCACCTGAGAGATCCTGGCATCATGGACAGGTAAAACAGGTGTCTGCAGCTACTTGTTCAAATCAGATTTCAGAGTTTTTCTCTTAGAATTAACCTCTTCTGCATCTGGTGTTCACTGTTCCTCTCCCTTTCTCCATCTGACTCACTTTTCTAACTCTGTCACCCTGTCCTGCTCTCACATCTTCCAGCTCTGTGTTTCTGTCACCCTTTCTCTCTTTGACTGTCTGTCACCCTGTTTTCTTTTCCCTCTGTGTCATTTCTCTTTCTCAAGATTATTCTCTGATCCTTTTCATTCTTCCTTTCTAGAAAGAAAGAAAGATGACAGAAAGATGAACATTCAGATGCTTTGTTTTGCTTAAGTATTTTGGTGCCTTTCCACTCTTAATTCTTGCATCAGATTTCTGCATCATTTTGATTCTGCTGCTCTCATCCTAGCTCTTAGGCATAGACGATTCCAACTGCTGGTATCTCTACTTGCATTACACTTACTCTTGCATTACACTTACCTAGTTATAACTAATCACTCTCTGCAACTGTATATCCTTTCCATAACCAGAGGCCTATACTCCGATTTAAGTAGTGGCTTCATACATTTTTACTTGGTGAGATTGTCTTCACTTCGTTCTGATATTTATAAATAGCTAAAGTGATCATTATTTTTTGTTTTGTTTTGCTTTGTTTTGTTTTGTGGTTGGGTCATTTCTCATTCACCCCTTTTTAATATTTTTTTGCAAGTAAACACTGCTCTACATGGTCAAAAACATTGAATATAGAAAAATGAGAAGAAGGGAAGAAATGGACATCTGTTTTCTCCTTTTGTGACACAGTCTTGCCAAGTTTTGCTATTCATCTGGCTTATCATACCAGCTCGTTTTATGCATAATTTCTGGGCTGTCTTCTCTGAAGACCCTGAGAACTGTCATACTTAGAGAAGGTCCCTTCTCTACACCTCTCAGTATTAAGGAGAGTCTTCTTTCCCATTCCTGCAATTACACCTATCTGAAAGGCAGAAAATTTTGATGCGCCATTGATCAACAGCTTTGTGAGCCCAGGTGGAGAAATGTGTTCATGTATGTTAGTGTATATATACATGTGCACATACGTATTTGAATACATGGTAGCAGGTATGGAGGACTAGGGCTGCTCCAAGAATGAGATGTGCCTGCAGGAAATAAATCAGAACTAGTGATGAGGAACATACTCTGCAAGAGAAAACCTTGGAGAGGCAACACACACAATAGGAATGCCAGAGTGATGTTGAAGTGTAGTGAGATCAGTTTGTGCAACTCCTGACACAACCTGCAAGCTCAGCAGAGCAGGACTGGGACAGTGCTTAGGTGACTGACCTCCAAGAACTGCCTGAAACTGCTGAAGGGCTGAATTAGCTGCTTAGTAGGGATATTCTGGCTACTGAGTGTACACAGGACTCTACAAAGCCTTGTCTCCTCAATGGACTTTCTCTTAGCAGAAGGCATGTCACAACTCCCATGTGATCTCCTTCTCTAGGAGCTTATAAACAGTGTCATAAATGACTATGCACAAATTTATTCTTTCTGTGTAAGCAAGACACTGTATTTGCACTGCAGACTGTGGACAACAGGAAAGAGGATGTGTGCAAGCGACTTGTGAATCTGTGGGACAGTCAGGGTAACAAAAGTGTGCAAGGGAAGATTATGTCACTGATAATCCAGTGTTTTTTATAAGGAGCACCTGAGTGCAATAGGGAGTGCTACATGAGAGCAAAACACGGGTCTGTGCATTAGATCAAGGGCAAGAGAGTGAGCGTGAGCAGCTCTGATGTGGTGGTCATTTGTGAGATGGAGATGAGTCACTGGAGAAGTAGGTAGGATGGCTTGGCTATCTGGAGGTTAACATCTGCAGTGCTCAGGTTTTATGGTGACAAAGGCAAACAGATGAAGAGCATGTGCATATAAAATTTTTCCTCAAATCCTCACATTTAAATCAGAAAATTCCCAACCATCCCAAAGTCTCTTTTCCTACACCTCACTGAGGACCCTCCAAAGCCCATCCCCCTAGGACTTGCAGCTAACCCCATCTCTCTGATGAACACCAGCCTATCAGAGGGAAAAGATGACAGAGGATGGGATTATTTTTAACCCATTCACTTCTGTTTTGCATTGCTGTGCTGTATCTCACCTCAGTGAGTATCTCACCTCAGTGAACACAGCTGTTCTCAGATGCCTCTGTACTTGGGGGAAAGGCTATTAGAGAAAGGTCGTGGCTTCCTTATCCTCCCAGTGCTCCTATTCCCTACATCTCTCCAGCATGCCATGGGAGCATTCTAGGCATGGGACCAAACCCCTGCCAGACACTATTTGTCTAATGGGGGAATGGCACTTGTGGCACATGCTTATCCCATTATGTATCCTTTTAGCTACAGTATGGATCCCTGCCATGTCTCCTTGACCTTTCCAACCACGCTCTTTTTCTGGCTAAGAAACACTGTCCAATCTTATCTAAAGAGGCTCTAGTTTGATCTTTCCATTGCTCCTGAGGCTCTTCAGGATTTCACAGAATGAAAAGAATATTTCCTGATGACTTAGCTTGACCCTCTCATCTTCCCAGATCTTGTCTCCTCAGATAGCTTCATCTTTTGCCCTCTTTGGTTTCCATCCTTTGGATATTTGAAGGTAGTTTCACACTCGCCCCAGCTGCAGTTGCTGTTTGATTAATCACTGCTAATTCATCTCTTACTGTTTCCACTCATAAGGTCACCTGCTTCATCCCCACGTTCACATCTGCACCCTTTCCCCAGTCAACTACATGCAAATTACTGATGCTCTTCTTGTACTGAGAGATCTGGACATGACATGGATATTTTTGGAGCTGAGCTCTCAACAGAGACATGGCCAACTTCTGCATCCAGGGTGGGCTGGATACAAATTCTCTCTTGTTTTCTCCTGCAGCCTCCTGATGAAGAGGAAGAACTTCCTCTACAATTTCAAGAATATGCGCTGGGCTAAGGGCCGCCGTGAGACTTACCTCTGCTATGTTGTGAAGCGCCGTAACAGTGCCACTTCTTGCTCCCTAGACTTTGGATACCTGCGTAATCAGGTATGGGAACACCTCAACTTCATGTTCTTAGACCTGTAGATCTGCACTGGACCCTCTCTAGAAGCTCCATGTCCCTCTTGTACTGAGGACTGAGACAAACCCACCACTTTACTTAGTCTTCCCCAATAACCTACTGAAGTCATTCTTCCCTTCTCCTCCCCGTTGAAACGCACTTCATCCCTGCCTCACACTTTGCCCCTTTCCCTCTTTTATGAAGATGGGTTGCCATGTGGAGGTGCTCTTCCTGCGCTACATCTCAGCCTGGGACCTGGACCCAGGCCGTTGCTACCGTATCACATGGTTCACCTCATGGAGCCCATGTTATGACTGTGCCCGACATGTGGCTGACTTCTTGCGGGCTTATCCAAACCTGAGCCTCCGCATCTTCACTGCTCGCCTCTACTTCTGTGAGGATCGCAAGGCAGAGCCTGAGGGGCTGAGGCGCCTGCACAGGGCTGGAGCCCAAATTGCCATCATGACTTTCAAAGGTGAGATGGGAAGAGGGGGAAGAGATGACTGAAAGCTATGGGGGTTAGATTTAGAAGGTGGTGGGAAAAGCTGGGAAAAGGAGCCAGAAAAGATGATTACAGTGATTTAGTGATCCTAGGAGAGGTTATGCCCTCTCCTTGGGAAGTCGTGAACTCCATAATTCCCCTGTGCCTTGCACAGATTACTTCTACTGCTGGAACACATTTGTGGAGAACAGAGAAAAGACCTTCAAAGCCTGGGAGGGGCTGCATGAAAACTCTGTCCGTCTGTCCAGACAACTCCGACGTATTCTCTTGGTGAGAACCATTTCTACCTCTCCTTCCAGTACCCCTCCCCCTCAAATTTTTCCTCTCTTCCTTTGTTACAGTTCCTCTCTCTTCTTGCTGTCCATCTGAACCATCTGTCATTTCATCCTTTTCTGGGTCTTCACTGTCCATGTCTCTCATGCCTTTCTCTCCCCATTTCCTTCATATTGCCCTCTCCTCATCCACTTCTTCTTCCACCTGTCATCACCTCTCCATCCTTTCCTTCCTCTTTCCCCATCTCCATAGTTTCCTGCTCACTTGACAACTGACTCATTGTTTGTATTTTGTCCTCTAGCCACTCTATGAAGTAGACGATTTACGAGATGCCTTTAAGACCCTGGGACTTTGAAGCAAAAGCCGTCAACAATCAAAAGACTACATAAACACTCAGCCTTCATCTCCATCTCTGTTCCTCACAGTAGATGTTTCTTTTCTTCCCTCCTTTCATTTCTCCTCCTTCCAGCCCCGTGCCCAGAGAGATAAGACTTCCTTACTTTTTCATTTCTGATGAAAATTTGGCTGGTCTTCTGAAGACACATTGCCTTAGATTCACACTTTATCCATTGCTATCTGGGATTAGCCAGGACTGTGGTGACATTGCCAGAGAGCGATTTGCCCCTCTCCCCCACTTTGCTCCTGCATAGAGAGCCAATTCAGTTTGTCCACCTCCATGACTGCTGGGTTCAGTCTTGCCTAGATAGAAGTAGACAGACTGAAAAGCTATTCACTGTGTTCTCGTTGACACTGCATTGATCTGCATGTACCATTAATGCTTTGGGGAATATGTCTCTTAGAGCTGCACTACAATGAGTGTCCTTCCTTATTAGATAGCTTATCTGTCTTTATGGATGTAGGTAGTCTCTTAAGATCACCAGCATTTTAAGTGGTCTAGCCAATGCCATAACAGCAAAATCAGCCCATAATTGAACAGTTTGGCTGAGAACATCAGACTGAATCCTGGACAGCACATGTAGCTCAAATTGAAAATCTAACTTGAAGACAGCAGGTTCAGTAAGATAACTCTGGGCTGAAGGCAGTTCATGACCAGCAGCCAAGGATAACTACTCATGAAAGGCTTGTTGAGAGACCTCACAACTGAACTGTCTTTCCATAGCGCTATCATTACAGGAGAGGCTGAAATCAGAATATCTGTGAAATAATCACAAAACCTTCTGTACAGGCCCAGTCCCTATAATATCTTCTATCCAGGAGGGGCTGAGATTCAATAGCTACATACCCAAGTTCGTGCCCTGGGAGAGGTTGAAACTAGTAGAAGATTCTCTGGATGACATTTTCAAGAGTGAGCTGCGTTTCTGAGTGTCCAGGAAGACATTTTTCGTGTAGTAGTAGGAACACCATTCAGTTTCCATTCATTGTATTGATAGCCATGACATCCCTAGGCCATTGCTAATCAGCGTGTGGACCTTTCATCCATCTAAGAAAGGACTTAGCCATGCACTTCACCACTGCAGTGTTTTCCCATCATATATCTTTTAGTTCAGGATGTGGAAAAATACTTCATTCCCACATTGTAATGTCTCTTAAACTTAGTTTCTCAATCATGTAGGTTGAGGCTGTAGTATTTTAGATGATGCCTTGGCAGCCAGATCAGGTACTGTCTGTTTCTTGATATACCACAGGGCAGAGAACTACAACTTCCACTGGTATGGAAGCCACTGAGCAGTTCCTTTTAATCAGACTTGAGATATGCTACCTGTGTAGGTTTCTGTCTTCTGCTGAAGGCACTCTAGTAGCCTTGTTTTTTTCTCCATCCATACACTAGCTAGATGCATCTAGTTGGTTACTGACCTAGAACTGCCAGCAAAACACCTGACACAATCGAAGATGCGCAGCCTGTTGGCATCTTTTGTAGGGTGCAAAATCAAAACATCCTTCTGTTTGACAATCACTGTTTTATCAGGGGAACCCATTAGCACTGCTAGATTGGCTAGACTTGGTCTTGTAGACAAAGTTTTTACTAGATTGAAGACATTGTTTGACAGTTATACCCCTATTTCCACCTTTTTACTACTAAAATTCTTATCTGTGATCTAATCTCTCAAGGCTTTCCATGATCCTATTGTGAGCATCCCACACTCTGGGGATGCTCTGCCATTTCCTTCATGGTAGCAGCAAGCTCTCTAGTCTACCCTATTCCTCTTTCTGGGTAAGGCTATAGGCTCCCATTTTGCTCCTGGCAGTGATTCCTCTGGTGATGGACCAGCACCAAGATAGTGGAAAGCTCTACTCCCACAGTGCTTCCTGCTAGCAGAGGTCAAAGCTGGGCGCATCACGAGCTTCCTACAACTTCAGGTTCCTGAGGCACTGTCATCTGAGGGAATCTGGACCAGGAATACCAGTGTTAGTTCTTTGCAAAGCATTAATTTGCAAGCATGGTGCTGTATACTTCTGTGACATGGTGCATATTATTTATATATAACTAAAGATCTTGCATATAAGCCTCTGGTTTTGTCATTATTTTCAGAGTAACTGGGTGTGGTATATAAAAGCTGGCCTAAAAGACTGAAGCGTAATCTAATTTTTCTGATTTCTGGAGAGAGAAGCTACTATTATATTAAAATGTCTTTCTCATTTCACCTATAATTTTGAAGCCGTTCACAGTCTCACCCAGAAGATCGACACGGTTAAAGCGCTTGGGCCATTAGTACTTTGGAAATACTACCAAAATCATTATATTAATGCTAGAAATTGTTCAAGATTATTAATGTGTTGATTACAAACCTATTATATAAATTCATGACTCAACTTTAGTCAATCGATTACAATACAAATACCTGTGATGAATACACCCTACAATGAAAGAAGGCTTAGAGGAGATGGGCAATGGCAAGGTGACCCTGAATCTCAGAAATAATGTAGGATGTAACTCATTAACCACAGCTGTTGCACAGAGAACTGACTTTATCTCAACACCAGAGGATGATCTGTGTGTTAGATAAGCAGGTGTAACTGTTCGGTGCATTAATTGGTATAAATGATCAAACAAATGTGAATAACTCCCTGAGATATTCCAGGCCAGACCAGCATGGGGGAGTGTATTATATGTTGGGCTCAGCCCAGCACAGGGCATAAAAGCTGGGCAACTAACAAAGGAATTTTGGAGAGCTACAGGCTTGAGCTGGCTTCATCCCACATATTCTTTCCCAGCAACTGGTGGCACCCAGCATCGTGATGGTGAGCATATTATAGAGACCAGTAATTGCAAACATTAGTATTGTGGTTGAACTGTACCAGTACACATTTGTTTTGTGATTTCAGTACATTGCTGAGTCATGCTGCTAAATCAAAAATCCCATGTAAATTCAAATATCTTAATATAAAAAATAAATATTTATATTTAACTTTCCCTTTTTTGTATACTGGAAATAATCTGGTCCGAGAGCACTGGACTCCGGCAATAAGAAAAGCAGAGATGGAAAAAGGGTCTCTGTCTTCTAGTTTGTGGTACTGGGTTATCCAATACCACTGTCCTGAATGAGGTTGTTGGAAAGCTGCTAGAAAAAAACAGAATTTTCTAAAAATGACTGACATTATAAACCAGCCTCAAATGCATTAGATATCTCCATGGAAGATGACTATTACATATTAGGTTGAAAGGGTAATATTAATAGTTTTCTACTTGTGTATTAGGATACATATATAGGGAATATTTAATTATGGCTTATATTCTGCTATACTCCATATACCTTGCCCCTTATGGCAATAGAGGCTGCAGAATCACAGAATGTTCTAGATTGGAAGGGCGATCTGGAGATCATCTAGCCCAATCCTCCTACAGCAGGCTGCTCAGGACTGTATCTGACAAAAAAAAAAAAAGTGCTTATATTCAGAAAAAAAGTTCCTGTTTCAGTTTGTGCTCCTTGCTGCTTCTCTTGTCACTGGGCATCACTGAAAAGGAAAGAGTCTGGCTGCCTCATTTTTATTTCCTCCCTTCAGAAATATGCACTGCTACTATATGCATTGATAAGAGCACCCCCCGAGCTTTCACTTATCCTAGCTAAAAAATCCCTGTTCTCTCAGCCTTTCCTCATATGACAGAAGAGGAATGACTCCAATTCACTGGACTTGTTTCAGTAGCTCCACGTCTCTTGTACTGCAGAGTCCAGAACTAGACATAGCACTCTAGTTGCACGTTCACCACGGCCATGTAGAGGAGAAGAATCACTTCCCTTTACCTGTAACATTTTTTCCTAATGCAGCCCAGGATACCATTGGCCACCTCTGCCACGAAGGCATATTGCTGGCTTATGCCCAAGTTGTTGTCCACCAGGACTCCAAGTCCTTCTCTGCAGAGCTGCTCTCCAGCAGGTCTGCTCCCAGCCTGTACTGATGCATGATGTTATTTCTACCTAGGTGCAGGAGGTTGCATTTCCGTTTTGAAGTTTGTGAGGTTCCTTTCCACCCATTTTTCCAGTCTGTCAAGGTCCATATCAATGACAACACAATCCATGTCCTTCATGTGCTTGGAAATGGTGTCCAGAATGTTTCCAAGATAGACCAAGGGGTCTATAATGCTACCCTGAAACCCTCTCTCGGTCTGAAGTTCATGGCTTGCAATGATGTTTAAGGCACAAGCTGCACCTGAATAATCATATAACTGCCTCCCAAAATTTTGTTTTCTGTGAAAGTGTCCATATCTGTGTTCTCTTGTTATCCTCATCTTTACTACAGGTACAATTAGTGATAGCATCCAAAAGACTGCTCAGCAAATCTGCTGCAAACATGGACTCTTGATAGGCCTGCCCTTCAGAAAACTGTCTCTGTAACTGGATGTGTAGTTTTGGGTGCTTTTTCCATGCTCAAGTTAGGTATCTCATTACTGTAAGCACACCTTCAAGAGGTCTACAGCACTGCTGGGGTGTTATCCAAATTACCCGCATGCTAGCGATATTATTGTGCCTGAACACGTGCCTGTGTCTCCATGCACATATATATTACCTGAACAACCTTTTGCCGTTTTGGGCCCTTGTGACACATCCATGGCCCTATTAACAACTGACATTTGCTTTTATCTCTTAAGTGGCTCAGCTACAGTACCCACTGAGAAAACACTGAACTCTCCAGATAGATACAGGATAGGTCTTTGATAATGAAGGAGAATCAACAGCACAATGAACAGGGGAAATGGGGAATGGGGAAGGTTTTGGCCCGGTGTGTAAAACCCGACATGACTGCCATCACTTGGAGCACGGGAATGCATGGCAGCCTTTATCAGTATGTCATCTTGAGCGATATTGTTACTTGCTGCAAATGGATCCTGGAGTCCAGCTCTTAGCAACCTCTAAATTATGTCCATGTAAAGAGCAGGACACTTACATCATTCCCACAGCTGCACACAGTATTACTTCAGGTCAGCACACAGCGT